GTCCGCGCGCCTCGTCCCCAGCATTTGACTGCGTTGTCGTTCAACAAAGCACAGACGTTGTACTCACCTGCGGAGACCTGGTGCACCGTCTTGCCAGTGCCCACATCGACGGGTGGAAGAAAGTCTCCCATTTCATTCGGCCCATCACCAACCGTATCGACGGTTCCACCCAAAACACCATAGGTCGTGCCATCTCCCCAGCATTTCAGCGTGTCATCGTTCAAAAGGGCGCACACATGGTAACGGCCGGCAGTGATGTGCTTGGCTGTCTTTCCAGTGCCCAGATCCACGACCGGAGCATCTGTGCTGGCCCGGTTCTGCGTGTCTCCGTAGCCCAGGACACCCTTGGAGTCAGAACCACGTCCGAAGCACTTCACGGTGCTATCATCAAGTAGGACACATGTGGCATACTCTGCAAGCGCCATGTGGGTCACCGTGCGACCTGATCCCACATCGATGGTATCGAAGCCAAGGCGTGCCTGGCCTGTTCCGAGCATGCCGTTGTCTGGGCGGCCCCAGCACTTGGCCGAACCATCCGTCAGGATGGCACAAGAATGCCAAAAGGATGCGAACACGTCAGTGGCCGTGGTTCCTAAGTTCACTTCTGGCAAATGGTCTCCGATGTACTCGGGAGCATGTCCCATCATGCCCGGGGAAATGGGGTAGCCGATGCGCTCGTAGTGGCCTCTTCCCACGCACTTCACGGCGCCGTTGTCGAGGACCATGCACGTCCATGTGTCTCCACATGCCACCTTCGAAACAGTACGCCCTGAACCCACGTCCACTGCAGGAAGGTTTTCACCCATCTCACCTGCTTCATCACCGCGGTTCAGCTGGTCCCCTTGTCCCGTTTGGCCAACCCCTCCAGCGCCCCAGCACTTGAGAGTGCTGTCATCCAGCACCGCACAGGCGTGCGTCTCGCCGGTGCACACGTGTGTCGGGGTTCCCTCCAAGTCAATCACCGGGGCGACTGCGATCATGCTGCTTGAGCTGTCTCCTCTGTTGTCTGTATCGCCTAAGCCGAGCTGCCCGTGACTGTTGTACCCCCAGCACTTCAGCTCGGAGCCTTGCATCAAAAGGCACCCCAAGCCTGTCGCGGCACTGCGGACCATCAGCTCCTGCGGCACGTATGCCGCAAAAGCAGGAGTCTGCAAGAAAATCAGCCATAGTAGGGCTGAGCCTTTGATTGGGACGGCCATGGTGGATCGGAAAAACCGGCCGTCTTGTAAGGGAAGTCTCTTCGAGAAAAAAATGCTGCAGGGCAGGGCTTGAACCTTTCAACTACTGCTCGAGGCAACAATCTCTGCAACTTCCGAGTGAATATCCATTGAAGCTTCGGTTTGGCCATGGTCTCGTCACAGCTCAGAGATTAGAGCACAGCGCTACGGCTCCAAAGTTCCAAACCCGAGCTATCCGAACACGGCTCAATCAACAAGGCCACCTGTATTTTATCTATGAACATGCTGGAACGTATTTCCAACCCTGTATTCTCCTACTGTACTCGCTGACTGTAAGGAGAGACGCCTGGCACGACCAAGAGGGGCATTGATCTGCAAGACCACCGTAAATGTAAACCACGTCAACCCAATGCCGTCTTTCGGCTTGCCACAAACTCTACTGATGCGAACTTCGAGGTGTGCTGCACAGTCGTTGCGACTGACACACGAATGGAGCTCAGAAGGACTTACTGCGGGTTTGAGCAGGGTGGCCTGAACAGAGACAATGTTGTGTTGGGGAACACACCGATGGAAGTCCTGAGGTGTGGGTTGCAAGTCCTAAACCCCGACAGCCCGGATGCCCTAAACCCTAAACCCTAAACCCTACATGCAAACTCTGGAGTCTTGTGTTGTCGATCTTTTCCCGTGATGCCGAACTCGCGACTGCCTTGCCACGTCTTGCAGCACGACCTGGCCGGTGAGTGCTGTATACTCTTATGTGAGCCTTCAGTGCAACGAACAATTTGCGCGAATTTGCGCAGCAGTGGAAACTCGCATGCGGTTAAACGTGCTTCTGCTCTTGCACTCCTTCTCGGTCGTCGTCGGTCGGTCGTCCGTCATCGTCGCCGGCAGCGATATGCCAACACCATACACTTAAAACCCTGACGCGCAAACCCAACCCACAAAAACTGCGAACCTCGAACGAGAAATCAGCCTCGACATCTTCACCCCCACCAGGGTCTAGATACGCTGAGAAAAATTTCACTCCGCAAGGGTGGACTGTGGGACCTTGGGGGAAAGCCTTGTGGGAGGTTTTTCTGGCGGTGTCGGGGAGTGGCGTAGGGCCGCAGGACGAGCAAGCTCTGGGATTTGCGAAGCGGGGGCCGTTGTGGGGAGTGTCGACGAACGGCCGAGAGGAGGGCTGTCTGCGGAAATTTAGGGTCAGTATTCGTGATGCGGTATCACGAAACAGCGATTCTATACATGTCAGTATGTGTGTGTGTATACATATACACACCTCTATACAAAAAACCATACATATAAACAAGTACACGCATACACACGCGTTTCTACGATGCATTGGTCTGCGATAGGACTTCCAGAACTGCTTTGCAGCCCCACACGATCGTTCAAGTCTCTCTGATGCGATCCTGATGGCCATCACGGTTGTAATTCTGACTGCGGTCTGCAGTTCCCAAACACTGTGTTTGTCAAGTGGCTACAAGGCTTATCTGCCGTGTTCCCATAATCCTTGTCAGACTTTCGCCGTGAACCGAAATTGGTTTCCTCAACCCCCCACGCATCCCACTCATTAAGATGCTTAAACCGTTTACATAACCCCGCCTCAACAAGAAGCCGCAAATCCATGTCTGAATGGACTGGGCCCTTCCAGTTTTAATGGTTTGGAAAAGAACCGTATAGACATCATCTTTTATTTCATCATCATCACCATCACCATCACCATCACCATCATCATTACCGTCATCATCACCATCACCATCAATGCCCCATCAACCTGAATGCCTTGCACAAGGGGGAAAACACAGGCCCAATCAAGATAAATAGTCCTAACAAGTACCCTGCAGAGGGCAATAATGAAAGGAAATGCTCATTCAGGTCAAGGCCAACTAGGTGTGCATACTACTACTGGCCTAGGACTAAGCAGAGCTTAGCCATGTTTTGAGCCGAGCGGCAAACGGGCTTTCACGGCTGCCTAGCTCTGCGCGCTGTGCTGCGGCTCGATGCAATCATGAGCAGCTGCAAGCCAACACGAACTTTCTTGCGCTGGTTCAACATTAAAGTGTATAGACCGGAGGAGACCGTGCTCGTGCGGCCTAGGCCCAGTCTTGGATATAGTGTGTACACTCCGTGCATTGAAATACATTGAATTTGTCTTTTGACGGGCGCGCACCACGTGGGCTGATCCGAGCAAATAACTTAGATTTGGCTGCGTGAACGTGCACCGCAACAACCGATAGCTAAAACTGCTTGGCAGTCAGATCCCGGCTGTGCAGGCTGTTCATATCCGGCTCATTGATATGCAAACAGGGGGTGGGAATTCAGACCAGCCGCTCATACATCAAAGCCAAAGTCTAATCTGGCATGCCGGGCAACACGGCCTGGAAGTCATTTAGCATCTCCTGGCCCTTCCTACTGGACTTATGGCCCTCATCCAGTACGGAATGCTCTGCTTGGTGTGACGCCGAACAAGCAATGGAGATTTGACTCGCATGCTGTGCGGCTTGCGGCTCACCTTCGGGCTCCTTCTGCTCGCCATCCTCTGGCTGTTGGTACCATTTGTGCTTGATGCTCTTCCTGATGCGCTGACTTCGAAGTGCGCACGTGGCGATTGTGCCCAGGACCACAGCCATGCCCAACGGCAAGAGCACCATGTCCTGAAGTAGGCTCATCCCAGTACACTGGTACCACTTGTGGGCATCTTCAAGATGAGAGTTCGCAAGGAACATCATGATGTATGCCAGGCACGCAATAGTGTACACGAGCCACAGCAACCAGAAGACATAGGAACGACAGCGCCACCAGGCCAGCTTCCGTGCCTTGGCCGCCTCTGTCCACTGCGTCTTCTCTGCGGGGCTGCGAACCTGTACGAGGAAGAGAGTGAAGATGATGCAGTCGCCGAGAAAAGCGGATAAAAAACCCACAATGCAATTCTGGACCAGGGCCTCAAAGAAGCTGAGCTTCTGTCGACAACCAGGGTCAGTCGGGACTTGGCGTGGTGCTTGTGAAGAAGAGCGCATTGGTGGCGCCTGCAGTGCAGAGCTTCAAGAAGACGAGGGCAACTCGCACGGTATAAGGCGTCAATATGCTGAACCGCAACAATGCGATCCATGGGTGGAATGCAGGAACGAGCAGGCAGACACGGCTGCACCACCCTCGCTGAAGGATAGACTGCACAGCACTAGCCCCGTGAAGGTGAACTTCCCATCGAGCACTGAGGTCACGCACCGCCATCGCGAATTGATTGACGTTCTGAACCACTGACTGCATCATACGGGAGACGCGGCTTCGGCGAGCCGGGGTGCGCGAGACCTGCCTCGGAACGCTGTCCTCGACTTGGAACTTCTCGTTGGCGAGCAGAATCTCCAGGCTGTCTAGAGCCACGCCGCATCGATACGCGTGGAGGGACCTGATGCACCGGTTGACGCTGGCTTCTGGGGCGTTCGGGATCGCGTCCATGAGGAGCTGCAAAATATTTTCCACGCCAAAACAGATGCCCGTGCACCAGCAGCACCACTCCTTCAGCTGAACCAGGCAATAGCGGCAGCACGCCCAGACTGGGGCAGCTCCTCGTCTTCGAGGCAGCTCCTCGTCCGAAGGCAAAGCCTCGCGAAAGAGAATTGGCTCGAGCTCCTCCCAGGGAACCATCTGCTTGTCTCGGCGGTCCACATAGGCCGCACGGCACTGGATGACCAAGAACACGGCTATGAAGACGAAAGTCGATATTGACGGCAGGCTGCCCATCCACTTCCGGCGTGACCCCATGAGCTTCTGAAAGCCTTTCTCAGACATGAGCTCCCAAGCGGAACTGCAAGAAATGACTGCAGCAGCCCTTTCGACAATGATCTGCAAGACTCCGGCAAAGATGGAGAGGTGAGTGGTCAAACAAGTGAGTTCACCCGCGCTGTTGGACAGGGTGGTCAGACCCTTGCCTGACCATAGGGTCTCATCCTCGTCCCAGTAGGCACATGTTGCATTGGGACTCTTCACCTTTAGAACGATTTCCATGGGGGTTTGCAGCTCACCTATCTTCAAGTTGGAGCCATCCGGGCCTCTGAGGTTGATACTCAAAGGCTCCGACTGCAGAGTTGCGGCAGGCTCACCTTCGACATATACTAGTCAGGCTCAGGAGCACTGGCCCAGAGACACCTGATTTCTCGAAGAGCTCAGCTGCTTGGGACAGGATTGCCGCCGGCATCTCCACCTTTGCACCTGTCTCGCCAGCAGAAACCGCCACACTTCCTCCGGCGGCCTCCACTGCCTCCGGTGACAGGGCCGCCACCTTCAGCGTGCCTGTCTCGGTCGACATGGACACCTGCCCCAACACGCCGCCGGTTTCGGTGCCATTCCCAGGAGCGTCGAAGTTGAGGGTGCTCAGAAGCTGTTGCACACTTTCCTGCTCAGCCGCCTCCACGGACGCTGCTGCTGCTGCAGCTTGCTCCTTCCTTTGCTCCTCTTGCTTTTGTCTCTCCGTGTGGTGCTACTGCGCGACACGGTTGTGGATGTGTGGGAGCCCGTGGTGCTGCTGCTGGCAGTGCTGGTGGTGCTGGTACTGCGGCTTGTGCTTGACATGCTGCTGCTTGTGCTGGTGGTGGACGTGCTGGACGTGGAGCTGCCAGTCAGGGACATGCTAGATGTGGAGCTGCTGGTCCTGGAAGTGCTGGAAGTAGAGCTGCTAGTCGCTGTTGTACTGCTACTGGTGCTGGTCTCTGTCGTGGAGCTGTAAGAGGTGGTGCTGCTGGAGCTGCTCGTTGTGCTTGTGGAAGAAGTGGATGTACTCGA